CGAGTCAGAGGAGTATGGTATGTTACCAGACCTGTGAATCGGCCCCTGATTGGCATCCCGAGCCAGCCAGAATTACCGCTAAACCGCGGTAGGCAAAATGAGTATCTCCGTAAAACAGCCCACCCGAACATAATTTTTTTTTCGGTTCCCTTTTTCTTCCCCTCCATTCGCTTTTTTTCTTCTCCTTCTTCTCTCTCCTTTTCTCACTCCTCCCCCTCTTCCTCTTCTCACACCTTTCTTTTCCTTTGTGTTTATCTCTTTCTTGTTCTATATTTGTGTTTTTTTGATACCCTGTGGGCTGTCTGTTTGTGTGCAGTCAGCTCATTCAATCCTAGGACCTTCTGAAACGAAGGTGCTGGTCTTGTCTTGCACAAGGCTAATTTTTTGAACAAATCATTGCAAAGAAAAAGTACAGTTGCTCAGTCCGTCATGGATCAACAACGCTTTTTGCAGCAGCTTCAGATCGTCCTGAACCGTGAGTATTGCACCTTGCCCTTTGATTATCTTGCGAAGGCATTGCTGACTCTTTGTTTCAGCTTCCCAGGGCAATGTCAAGGAAGCGACGGGCGTTCTCCAGCGCGAGTTCTACAAGAGCCCCGAATCTCTCGTTTTCCTCATCCAGATCGCCACCGGCCATGAGGATCCGAATTTGAGGCAGCTGGCGGCCGTCGAAAGTCGGACGCTGGTTGTCAAGCACTGGGTTTCCGTTCAGGCAAGCCAGAAGCCCCAGATTCGTGAACAGCTTCTGCGTGCTGCTGTTGGCGAGAGCTCTTCTCTCGTCCGCCACTCGGTTGCTCGTGTCATCTCTGCCATTGCCAAGATCGACCTGAACGATGGCGAGTGGGCTGATCTGCCCAACTTCTTGCTCCAGGCCGCTAGCACCGGTAACAAGGAAGAGCGTGCCGTGAGCATCTACATCCTGCTCACCATCCTGGAGACTCTGGGCGATGCCTTTGAGGAGAAGTTTGATGAACTCTTCCAGCTTTTCAGCAAGACCATCAGTGATCCCGAGAGCGAGGAGGTGCGCATGAACACCCTGATGGCCTTGAGCAAGCTCGCCATGTACCTCGACTCGGAGGAGAGCGTCGCTCCTGTGAAGGCTTTCCAGAACCTGATCCCCTCTATGGTTGCCGTCCTTAAGGATGTTATCACTCGTGAGCAGGATGACGGCATCATGCAGGGTTTCGAGGTCTTCCAGACTCTTCTGGGCTGTGACCCCGCTCTGTTGACCGTCCACCTCAAGGACCTCGTTATCTTCATGAATGAGCTGGCCGGCAACGTGGAGCAGGAGGAGGATGTCCGTACCCAGGCCATCAGCTTCCTCATGCAGTGCGTTCAGTACCGCAAGCTCAAGATCCAGGGTATGCGCATCGGTGAGCAGTTGACCCGCACGGCGCTGCAGGTCGTCACTGAGCTCGGAGATGCTTCCCCTGCCGATGATGACATTACTCCTGCTCGTTCTGCTCTTGGTCTCCTTGACATCCTCGCACAGAGCCTGCCTCCCAGCCAGGTTGTTGTGCCTCTGCTTCAGACCCTGGGACAGTACTTCAACAACGGTAACCCCGACTACCGCCGCGCTGGTATCATGGCTCTGGGCATGTGTGTCGAGGGTGCTCCCGACTTCATCAGCACTCAGATGCAGGAGATCTTCCCCATGGTCCTGCAGCTGCTGGCTGACCCCGAGCCCAAGGTTCGCCAAGCCTCTCTGCACGCCGTCGCTCGTTTGGCCGACGACTTGGCCGAGGACCTCAGCCAGGAGCATGAGAGACTCATGCCCCTCCTCTTCAAGAACTTGGCCAGCGCCATGCAGGAGTACAAGGGTGAGGAGGATGGTCCTACCGTTGACATCATGAAGGCCGGTATCAGTGCGATTGACGCTGTTGTCGATGGTCTTGATGAGAAGGACGTTGCACCTTACCAGGGTGAATTGGTCCCGATCCTTCACAACCTGTTCAAGCACCCCGATTTCCGTATCAAGGGCTTGGCTGCTGGAGCTCTGGGATCTCTCGCCTCCTCCGCTGGTGACTCTTTCCTCCCCTTCTTCGACGACTCCATGCACCTCCTCCAGGAATTCGCTACCGTCAAGGACAGCGAGGAAGAGCTCGACCTTCGTGCCAGCGTCACTGACGCCATGGGTGAGATGGCCGCTGCTGCCGGTCCTGAGCGCTACCAGCCTTATGTTGAGCCGCTCATGCGCGCCACTGAGGAAGCTCTTCACCTTGGTCACTCCCGCCTCAAGGAGAGCACCTACATCTTCTGGGGTGCCATGTCCAAGGTTTACGTTGAGCACTTCTCTCCCTTCCTTGATGGAGTTGTCAAGGGTCTTTTTGCTTGCATCGAGCAGGATGAGACTGATCTGGATGTCTCGCTTGGTGCCGCTGCCAAGGATCTCATCGGTCAGGAAGTGACCATTGGTGGCCGCAAGGTCCGTGTTGCCGATGCCGATGATGATGATGACGAGCCCACCGGAGAGGATGGTGATATCGAGGATGTTGATGTTGACGATGAGGACGCTTGGGATGACATCACTGCTACCACCCCTCTGTCCTTGGAGAAGGAAATCGCCGTTGAGGTGATCGGTGATCTTGTCACTCACACCAAGTCTGCTTATCTTCCCTACTTTGAGAAGACCATTGAGATGGTTCTTCCCTTGGCTGAGCACCCCTACGAAGGTGTCCGCAAGAGCACCATCAGCACTCTGCACCGCTCCTACGCCATGCTGTACTGCATTGCTGAGGAGAGCGGCCAGATGGCCAAGTGGCAGCCTGGTCTGCCCCTTCAGGTCCAGCCTGCCAAGGAGGTCCAGAAGTTTGGTGAGATTCTCATGACCGCCACTGTCAAGATGTGGACCGAGGAAGACGATCGGTATGTATTCCAAAATTTTCTTTCTTCAATGCCTATTCATGCCCGCCCTCGGGCTATCTTAAATGATGATCACCACGTTTACCCAGCTCACTCCGACACGCAAAAGTCGTGCATGATGTGAAACACGTTTACTCACAACCTTCTGATATTCATATACACATTCGTTCTGCTGTATGATTTCATCATGGTTACAAAAGCTAACCAGAGGACAACTAGTGCTACCGTCGCCGACATCAACCGCAACATGGCTGAGAACCTGCGATACTGCGGTCCTTCCTTGATCTCGAACGAGACCACCCTCCACAACGTGATCACCATGATCACTGACATCATCACCAAGAAGCACCCTTGCCAGCTCGAGTTCGGCCCTGAAGAGGAGACCCTCGAAGCCGGTGAGGAGACTTCTGAATTCGACTGGGTTGTTGTTGACACTGGTCTTGATGTTGTCTCTGGTATGGCTGCTGCTCTTGGCGCCAGCTTTGCCGAGCTGTGGAAGGTCTTCGAGAAGACTGTCATGCGCTATGCTGGCAGCACCGAGGCTCTTGAGCGCGCCACTGCTGTCGGTGTGATTGCCGAGTGCATCAACGGCATGGGTTCCGCTGTCACCCCCTACACCGCTAGCTTCCTGAAGCTCCTTGTCCACCGCCTTGGTGATGAGGATACTCAGACTCGCTCTAACGCTGCCTACGCCGTTGGCCGTCTCGTCGAGCACTCCGAGGCCAAGGACCAGATCGTCAAGGAGTTCCCCACCATCCTGTCTCGTCTGGAGCAATGCCTTCACATGAATGTCTCCCGTCTTCAGGACAATGCCACTGGATGCCTGAGCCGCATGATCCTCCGCCACCGCGAGAACGTTCCCATCAAGGATGTCCTTCCTGTCCTTCTCACCATCCTTCCTCTCAAGAACGACTACGAGGAGAACGATCCCTTGTACCACATGATCTGCCAGCTTTACAAGTGGGAGGACCCCACCGTCCGTGAGCTCACTCCTCAGCTCGTCCCCATCTTCCAGGCTGTTCTCAGTGATGAGGACCAGCTGGAGGAGGAGCGTCGGGCCGAGCTCGTTGAGCTTGTCAAGTGGCTGAATCAGATGCAGCCTGGTGCTGCCCCTTGGGCTGACCAGCTGTAAGGGCAATGAAAAAACAAAGGATGGATGACGACAGCTTGATGACCAAATACTACTTAATGGATAGATCGGGTCTCTCTACGAGGACTCTTATGGACGACGTTAGAAGATACCCCTGGGGAGCCAATGAGCGATGAACCCACAACTTATAGAATATGGCTGGACATGCTATGAATTATGAACAAAAGTGGTGTATATATTTTATGAGTTAAATCGAACTCCGAATTGTATGTTCATCTTGCCTTCCTAATCTCACTTTCGTAATGTCTCTTGTAATGTCTGTAATCAATTAAACTACCTCCCTGTCAGTGGCATATTTTTGAGTCTACTCCATGGACATCATGTGCCGTGTCTCATGCTTCCGCTGGTTGATGTTCTTGTTTCCATACTTGTCGTCAACTTATTATATGGGGGAGCCAAACATGAGATTCAATTTTATGGGCCTACTGCTATTCTTCCCATTAATAGGTCAAAAACTGAGTCCTGTGTGATCTCCACGATCTTTGGAATAGTCAATCATTAAACTTGTGGTTCCTCTTTCTTGGAATCTAGTAGATATATAAATTAGTGGTAGCGGGGAGTTGGCCACATGTATCTCACAGGGTATTTTCCGCATTGTAGATGCACCTTAATTTCATAACGAAACCCAACCACTGCCTAGAACAGAGAACGACACATTCATTCCAGGACTCATCTAGGTATTCATGATACCTTTCGCATGACCTACCCGATCCTGCCGACGTCATTACACATATATTTTCCACTCGAAGCCTTATCATTACGTAGAGATGTTCATATCTTTACTCTGGGTATGGATAATGAGGCGTTGAATCAATCAATCCAATATTTCCCTTCTAAACATCCATTTCAACTATTCACACCATCACTCAATACTTCCTACTAGTTGCGCCCCTAGAAGGCAAGAAAAATGTCCACTGGTTTTATATCATTCCCACCCATACAATCCTTCCAAGACCCTCAAAAACCCACAAGAATAAAATATCCAACAATGGACCTCCTAGCCAAGCTCGAGATACTAGCTGTTACAGTTAACAACGAAGACAACGGCATCATCCTCGAAACTGCCTCGAACAACCAGTAATACAAAAACACAACCCATCCCCTCACAATCCTCCACCCTAGGGACAAGAACTCAACCTTTCTCGTCAAGCTTGAAGGACCTCTAAGCACCCCATCTCAATTCCAAGAGCTGTCCAAGTCCCTCACAACCCCCATCCTTAAGAAAGGAGTAGGCGAAGCCTCTACTGCCAATTTCTGCCTCATCACCGGCGCCATGAAGTTCAATATTCTTTCTGCTCTCGCAGGCAGCACCTTCTCCGCAACATTTGTCCGAATCAACCTCTCCCCTAAAGATCTCTCCGCACATAGCATCGCCCCAACCCTGGGTAGTGAGATCGATCCTACCCTTCCGCAGAACCGAGCTACCGATGCCGATGAGGTGTTTCTTCCGAAGCAGGGCGAGTACCCCGTGTGGTATTTCTTTTATGGAGATTTGGCTGTGCCGGAGATTTTAACTGAAAGGCTGGGGTTGGATGAGAGTCCGACGTATCGGAAGGCAGTGGTCAATGGAGGGCTTTTGAGGACCTGGGGAGGGTGCAAGTATAAGGCTTTGGTTGATGGGGATGCGTCGGCGAGGGTAGAGGGGTGGGCGTATGAAGTGGGATCTGAGGAGGATGAGGAGATGTTGAGGTATTATGAGACGGATTTCTATGAGGTGGTGAGGTGCGATATTTGTATGGTGGATGTTGGAGAGGTTATTAAGGGGCTGGTATTTAGGTTTGTGGGGGATGTTGACTAGGCTTTGCTTTGGTAGGGTTGTTGGGTGTCCTTTGGCGTTATTTTTTGGGTATCTGTATATCTGTATCTTTGTCGATCTTTTAACCATTTTGATCTCGGAGATGCAACTCTGGTTGGTCGATGTGCTTTATATCTTCATCTAGATATCTAGACAGATCACGGGTTCGGAGGTTTTGGGATGCTTGCACCTTCTTTCTCTGTCGAAGTAGATACTACCATTACTACCGCAACCCTAACTCCCTCCCAATTAATTTGGGCCTGCCGTTTGCCCGTCTAGCTATGCGGTGTTGAACAATCAAGACTGTATACAGGCAGGGAGGGGCCTAAATTATCCAGGTCGAGTCGAGTCTCTTATTGTGAACAAGAAAGATAAATGGCGCCTATTTGTCTAGCCCGTCCTTTATCACGCTGAGGTCACGACGTCACTATTAGAGGATCATTACTTGTCCTATCGGGTACAATGTACACTCACAATCACATCATCGTGACTGTCGACTGCCTAGAGAATACTTCCCTCTAGCGCACAATCGTTCGCCTCCATCCGACCTCTCATTTCGCAGTTATCTTTTATCTGCTCTGTAAGAAGATTCGGAGCCAAGTCCTTCGTCATTGTCTCCACCGTCTCTGCTGTACGCAGCATTAATTACAGACTATATCCGTCCCTTATTTCTCTTCTTCGGATATCGGTGTTTCAGATTATCCTGTCACCCTGGAAGGGCACCTATCTCACTTTTGACCAAGCCGAGACGGCTACAATGGCCTCCGCAGACAACTCCAATCGACGTAAAGCAGCTATTCCAAGCCCCGCGGGCGAGTTTCGTGAACCAAAGCGGCATGGCCTGATCGCACAGCTGGTATGTGCTGCAAAGCTTACCAAGCTTGATTCAATCACCTGGGCTTGTTTGTGGTTTGCGGATCTCTCGAAATTAGAAAGTCTCGTGTCATCCTGTGGATGGAACTCACCGTACGGTTTTATGGTGCACCGCAATCTCTCGAAGAGTGAGGATAAAACACAAGTAATTGATGCCTGTAAGTGGGGTTTGATACAATGCAAACAGACTTAGGCTAATACACTATCAGGGGCGGTTTCAAGGCCCAAAGAAGAATTGGAAAAGGCCTATGAAGACGAAGAATCAGATACCGAGGGGCCTCCGATCAAGAAGCGTCGGTTGACTTTGAACACAGAAGAGAGTCCCAGTTCTGCAGAAGAAGCAGCCACTCATTTAGCCAATAGACTAGTAAGTCAACTTCACATTCGATACGACCAGGCCAGTTCTCCGCTAACTTCAGCAAGTGCACTGAGCGAGTTAATGCCACTTGCGTGGTCACCGGTTGCCGTGATCCGGTCGAAATCGCACATATACTCCCCAACGGTCTTGGAAGAATGGAAACTCAAGTACTCCAGAAATTTTGGTTTCCTCTGCACCGTTTCTGGAGCCAAGAAAGGATCATGGCATGGATGAAACAGGCTGCAGGCCCAGAAGCCACAGAGGCCTGCTCGAACCTCTTGTGCATGACGGATATGGCCCATAAATTATGGAAAAAAGCACGCTTTGCCTTGAAACCGCTGTCTTTGAGTGAGGATCGGAGGTCACTTGAGGTGCAATTCTACTGGCTCCCGGTTCATAACTACCGTTCGAGGATTCCAGCAACCGAAGTCCCCAGTCGTATGTCTCGCAAGCTCTCCGGAACAATTGTTGATGGAAAAGAAACCATGCTTTTTAATATTGCCACAAATAAGAAACTATGCTCTGGGGATATTCTTACCTTCACAACAAACGACCCTAACAGTCACCCCCTTCCATCCATGGAGTTGCTAGACATGCAGTGGGTCCTAAATCGAGTTCTTGCCCTCAGTGGTGCCACTTACGCCACAGACGAAGAGCTTTACCCCGATTTCTCGTCGAATGAGGGCTCATTTTGGGATAGCGAGGAAGGTTTCTGAGATGCACAAGAGGAAGACTCAGGGGGCGAGACTCTGCGGGAAAGAATAGGTAGTCATCCCAACTAGCCCGTCACAATATTGCTGCTGACTACTAGAAGCAGACGTAGAAAATATCTGCCACCACAGTATAACCAGAAACATAACGAATATTCCTAGCTTCATCAGTAGTCCGCACATAATATCTTCCCTGCAAACTCTAGCCAGGAGGGTGTCTGCCGTGTCTACATTCTCTCATAAGTAGATTCTACCATTCAGACGACATTCTGGAGAGTAGAAAGGGTAAATTTCTCTCACTGGAAGAGGCTCTGATGACAATATCTTCCGGCAGATACCGCATCGGCCACGTAGACCAGGAGGTATCCGTCACGTAAACGGACTTTGCCGTCCAGATTATGAGAGACGTAGCTGCAAAAACCCTATAAAGACCTTCCAGTCTGCTACAGCTAAGGTAGCTACTTAGACAAGCAAATGCTTGACAAATAATCTTCTCCTTTGTATTCGTCACATCAATTAAGAGAGATGAACAATGAATCAGGCATAGCCTGCTGCTAAATTCCCTCCGGGATGTCAGCAGTCAGCATTTGCTACAATGAATATCCCAGACCTTCACTGCGGATTTCACTAATCGCCTCTATCACTCTACAGTCGTTTAATACTATCCCCTTCAATCTGTGCCTCTTCCTTGAGCATGATATACCTTCACAGGGCCTCCAATGTTGATTACCTGATTCACCGTCCTATTACCAGCCCTTCGTATAAATTGCCACCACTTTCCCTCGCGGAGCAACCAATTTCTTTCCTACAACCTGCCGGACAGCTACAGACCTCCTTTCATACTATATCTTTTATACAACCATCATCATAAGTTATATCATATTTCTTTGAATCTCCACATGAATCCTGTGAGATATGAACCTTACCAAAAAGGATTGAAAATATCATATGAAGATGAAAACTACAGCCAACATATACAAAGGGAAATTAGCACGTCCTTATTCCAAACAATTGAGCAGGAGGCATTCGATACCACACTAGGTAAAGGAAGAAGGGAAAAAGAAGAATATTTGCTCATCTTGAATCTAGCCAGGTACATAGCTGTCTCTGTTACCCCTGTCGCGCGTGCCTAATTGACTAGATCAAGCAGATGTTCACTGGCACAGCGCAGGGCGTTTCAATGCCATGTTAGGGATCAGCCGTGGCCCCCATATGAACTTCAAGTTCAGGATTGTGTCCTCGCCCCCGATTATCCTGACGTCCCAGTTGCTGTCGGACAGCCAATCCCGGTCCATTAGATCTCATATAGCTTATTCGGGATCTTTCTCCGCGAGAATTGTGGCCATGACCCAAATCCAAAGACTACTATTTATGGAATGGGATGGTTCTCCTACTAGAGCAACCACAACTGTCTATCGACTGCAGTTAGCCGTCTTCGAGTGCAAGAGAAGGTTCATAATCACAAACTGACCGCTATCTACTGCTCTGACGCGTACAGAGCTGCTTGAATAACCACCCAGCTCTTACACTCTACCGAGCACCAAAATACATCAAGCAATCAGGAAATAAAGATATCAAAGCCCCTGCAGCTTCCTTGTCCCTCACTTATAGGAAATACAAATCTCAAGCTAAGCTTGTGAGTGACCCGATTTGGCCAGATGATCTAAAATCAATCTAATATGTATTAGGGGCTGTGCGCGCTAGAAGCCCTACAAGACCTGACAAAGACTCGACTGGGTCGTGTAACAGGTCATGATGGACCAGCACCCTCATCGATATAAGGCTAAAACCTTTTCTCTGATACTGGTGGCCCCGTGAAGGTTCCACCCAGTTCTAAGCGCCTTGGAAAGACCAAGTGGGGTGTTGTACCACACTTTTCAGGTACAAACAAAGCCTTTCTCAGTATTATCATTGCAGGACTTAGTGTCGCACTTCTTGCTCTGTCTTCGGTTCTAAAGCATCTGTGCCTGAGCCAAATATGCAGCTTACACAAATAAAGGCCTATGATACAATGCTATCATCTTCCGAAACAGTACTCTGTTGATGTATAGCACTATGTACAATATAGCCTCCTAGATGGACGGGTGGCGGCTATACAGCTTCGAAAATCAGTGATGCAGTTATCGATGCATCCAAGTTCGCTTTTACGGCTTTGATAAAGTCCTCAAGGGATATATCAGCCAAAGAGATTAGCCGAGTACAATGGCTCTGCCAAAATTGGACCCAGTACTTCGAGGCTGAAGGCTTACAGCTTCAGCACTACGGTTGTGTTGGTCCCGAAGGCATCAGACAGTACACCTGAGAATACTGTGCTCCCTGGGATTAGGGGAAAAAGTAAATACTAGTTATACTAGTAATTAGCAACATGTTCCAGTTTTACTCAGTACAGGATCTGGTTTGGAACAATGTTCCAAGCATACTTCTTCTATCTCTAGAAACTTGGGGGTTTGTTTGAGATACCCATAAGGGCAGTAGAGTGTCCAGCTGGAAAGATCACGAACTTGACGTCAATAATCATGCAAAAGATGCAAGAAGCGGCGGAGATTGGAATTCTCCAAGCCACTGCGGGTCATTGCTTGCCTAAGTAAATATGCTTATCGAGACAACCTCGGGTTTATGTCCTACCGGTATAATGTCGGAATATCTTCCTGGCTTTTCGAAGATGAAGAGCACCTATTGAGTTAAAAATATTTATGAAGTCAATAATGACTCTGAAAAGGTATAGGTGTCTATGTGGACAAGGATTCTGAGTCAGGAAATATACGGTTGCAGACCAGATTCTCTTAGGGATCTGCTCAAAAGATACCATTAGCTTTGATAATTCGGAAGGCACACTTTGGTGTTCATCTGAAGACATGCATTTAACAAGGAGAGCTCTAACAAGGCTCGGGCACCAAGGGCTACGTTTTATTGGTAGACGGGAAATCCCTGTCGATAATACAAGCTGTACTTGCAAATCAGCTCGGACAAGCTGACTTCATATTGAGCATTGAGTAACCTCCCTACCAGCTTGGAAGCGTCACACCGTCTCGGAGTAAAGCCAACAAAGTGACGAGCTGACATGGGGGGTTTCCCGACCAAGATGGATCCTCTTTCCAGCCGTCAATTTTTCTTTCATCTTGTACCTTTGTGGTCAATTTGGCATCTCATCCGGGGTCTGCCATGAGGTAAGAGCCATCTACATAGAACGTAACAGGAAGAAAAGTTGAGAGCCAAGATCAGGCTTAGCCTCGTATCATTGATGCGAGTAAAGTCGCTATTATCGGCGATCTAACGGAGGTAAGACTGGGTTCATTCTATAATGACTTCATAAAGAGAATTGATATCTGGAATTTTCCTTGATTCTTTAGCACTGTCCCACGTCCAATGTTGTTGTGTGATCGCCTTTGTGATTGTGTCGCTACCTTGAGCTACCCTGGATTTCCATATCTTGGAAGGGTTTGGGGGTTTCTGGAACATGCCTTTGTAGAATTGCATGATCGCAGATAGTATGTTGGTCGTCTGGATCCCGCTAGATCTATATAAGGGCCCACCCTCATGGTTGAGTTTGCATCCGCTGCCCATAGTACTACTAACTACTATACTACTATTCCCAGCGCCGCTTGAGCATCTCAAATTTTACAATTTTTTTAGATCCTTGCCTTTTCTAAGTCAGATCTAGCTGAGCATATGACCCTACCTGTGCTGTGTTACTCTGGTCGGCTTGGCTTTTAAATAGTGACTTCCCATTGTGACTTGGAGCATTCTCCCCACTGTGTCGCCTGCCCCATATACTTGTCTTTCATACGTTTCCAGCCACGAAGCTATTCAACCTTTCATTCCCGCATGGTCGTTCAGGCATCCATGGAAATGGGGTCGTCCATCACCTACACTGACTTCCAAGCCACGCTCCGGGCTGTTGTGGAGCAGAGAAGCCAGCAGTATCAGAACATCTATTCGATTGCTGTGAGATGGGAGCTGGATGATACAAATGCCGAACTAGATACCGCGCACTTTCAAAGCATGCTGAAGAATTTCGATACTGATCCAGCTGAGGTCCTGGTTCTTGGTTCTGACGATGATTACCCTGTATACACCTTATCAAGAGCCTGGCTCAATTTTACAGCGAAAGCGAGACTCAACAACGAACGCAACTTGATAATATTCCATTATGCAGGCCACGGAACAACCAAGAATGGGTCTTTCAACATTGCGGAAAACATGAGCGAAGAATCAAAGACCGCCAACTTCGAAAGGGCTATCCTTGCAGACGTCAAGGACCCGAAGGGGTTCTCGGATATTATTGATATCCTGTTCATCCTTGATTGCTGCTATGCTCATTACACAACCCGAGCACCAAAGACTACTCGCAACGTTATTGAGATTCTTGCAGCAACAAGCTCCCAGACAGTCACAGCAAGATTCGCACCAAATAACACTTTTACTGCGAAACTGGCTAACGAGATTGCTCGAAGGAAGAAAGCGCATCATGAAAGTGTGGAGTTTACCAGCGTGTTTCAAAGCCTTCTCACCCGATCATCGACTATAGTGAGACCCACGCATGCCTTGCTCGTTGGTGCAGCTTCAGTTAACATACCACTCAACGGATATAGAACAGTAGACCCGCGAACTATTCCCGCGGATTACAACGCTCTTTTTGCTGTTAATATCTCAAGAGATATCATAAAAGAAGAGCTAAAAGAGCTCAGCACATGGATGCGGAAACTGCCATCGTTCGCGGGATTGAAGATAGAGAATATCTATCACACTCAATCTATGTGCTTGATTATGCGTGCTTCATTTTCAGTCTACACCAAGTTACACAATATGCAAGGATACAATCTAATTGCGGAAAATCCTGGTCCGGCGCTAACTCATCTCTTGCAACCTGAGCTGTCTGAAGAACCTGCTTCTCCTCCTTCCCAGCGGTCCATGATGTCTGAAAGGCGCTAGGTTTGTCCATGAGATACACCCGCGCTCTGGTTTTATATTTCTTATTTTAGTGAAATGGGGTTCCAAGAATGTCCAAGAACCTATGGGAGCGAATGATTCTACGATCAGAAACGACAAGTATTGATCAAATATAGCATTGATTTCTTGAATTTACAGTCTGCTTGCTTCTGTTTATGTGATAGCTGAATATCATATAAATGAATTATATAAGCTTCATGAATCAAATTCGTATATAACTTTATATGTCTAACATAATACCTGAAAACATATATCTTTTAAATTATGAATTTTTAGTAATTATACTATAGCTAACATTCGCAGTGATAATATGTAAAATGCCGGAAAGACTACAGCAAAATATACTGGATAGTATGTATCAGAAGAAAATTTAGCATTTGATTACTCTTATAGAAGTTCCCTAATAATTCTGTTTATATTGATATTATTATTATTATCGTAATTTCTTTTCTCCATCAACCAAAATGCTCTAGATGAGTATATCTTATTAATCTGTCTCTATATCTATACTGTCTAAGCTAAACAAAGCCAACCCTACCTGAGCTGATAGTAACACACGCAGCAGGTTTTGCTGTAATGAAACTTTCGACTGGAACTGTCAGTTTAAGTTCTTCAAGAGTGGAAACGAGGAGCTTACGTCCCTACGAAGTGTAGCCGTTCTATTACTCAATCGAAATCGAGGGCCTTCTTCCCAAAGAGGAGGAATCCGGCCGATATAAAGAACACAGTGTGAAGCGCTCGCGACTGGCAAGCTCAGAAGGCGATGGCTGGGTAGACATCAAACATGCGCCCCTTGTCCACTGCTGTCGCCCAGAGGGTTGCAGATGTGCCGCTCCAGATCAGCCGTCGTGCCTGACCGACCCTCGCGCTACCGTGGCGGTTAGAAAAGCAATTTCCATCCATCACATCTTGTCTGATGTGTTTCAGAGCATCCTGCACGAGGAGTGCTACTCGGATTCTGACTGGTTCACCTCTTGGTCGGGTTAATATTTTCTGGCTTGTTTTTACCTTTATTTACTGGCCCGGCAATGCTCAGTTACAATGGGTATAGCCACCAGCGAAGCGAGAAACATCGTTATAGACCCTCTATACAACGATCATCAACGGGAATTAGCAAACGGCTCGTCAAGATGCAGATGAATCGAGAGACTGCTTCTAGGAACAGTGAAACCCCAGTCGATAATGGAGTAAAGTCTGAAGAGCCATGCCAGTCTAATGGTAACTAAAGGTAAGATTACATTCCACTTGGCTGCAATTAACTATATACTGACCACTATTCAGCGCGCCTATTCTCCACACGATGATGCCTCCCACTGTATGTGCCCACCATGGTGATTTGTCATGGGCCAACTCAGCATTCGAGCGTCTGGTAGATAAAGCTACCGTCGGACGCTTGAATGTCTCATAGTGGTTGCATGATATGATTCAAAAGCAGATACCTGCAGCGTATCATACTGATCAAGTAGGGCGTTGTATCAACAAAGCTATCAGAGTGTTTGGGGGCACGGCGCAGTCAGGCTGGGTATAAGGCATAGACCCTGTTTAGTCTCGTTGTATCTCATCCGTCTTATGCATGTCATAGATGAAAAGAAGCTTTTTGGACCAATTAGCGGAGTTATTATGCTATGAGAAGGATGCAAACCATATGACATGCTCCTATTCATAGGAAGGAATACGCGGACTGCCAAATAAGGGCGTGCGTCTCGTCCTAGCCATCCAGTTCATGGTGGAGATCAAAGCGTGGGATACCATGGTGGCTGGGGAATGTGTCGTCGCGGCAGAGATTTTCTGATGCGAGCCTAATGTTTCAGATCAGCTCACTAGCGACGCCCAGCGACCGTGGGAGGAAGTACACAACAAATCAGGATATTCCTGTTCTGAGAGATGAGGTTTTCGAAAGAGGTGGTGCAATAAACAAGGAGATAGGCACGTTACAAACATCCCATTCTCCCCTCGGGTATGAGAAATTGTAGGACAAAAGTACGGCCCAACAGTTGGCGCTTCTTCAGAGTCGGAAGCCTTGGCTGTTTCTGTCTGGATAATTCACATTGATAATTGATGAGATTATGGATTATTGGACTTGTGGCCGGAAAAGAATGAGGCACACAGGTATACTTGAGCTAGACATATATGATGACATATAAAGATAAGTGAACTGCTTATTGCGACATAGCTCTCACATCACGGTACAACCTGTAGTTTTGACTTGAAAAAGACACTCTGTCGATCGATGAGAAAGGCTGCTTGCGTGCAAATTAATTTGCCAAGCCATGACTGACTTTACCTGAGAGCTTCATTCCTGGGGAGGATCTGTATGTCCAACATGAAACGGATATCTTGACTTCCTGGTCAAACTATACGGAACTTTTAACCATAAAAGTCTCCAGAAGGCAATGAAAATATTATCAGGACCGAATGTTTGCCCAAATCAACGTCCACGTTGTCTCAAAGTCATCCACAGAGCTGTATCGGGCCCTTTGATCAGCGCCTGAGCTGCTACATCCAAAAGATGCCATCAATAATCCTGAAAACTAGTACCCTAGGTCAGCTGTGGTAGGCCTAGCTTAGGGTCAGACTAATGTGGATACCAGAGTTTGGATGGACGAAAATCCAGTGTCAGAGCTTAAGCAGCCCGGAAGCTCGGCCTAATTTCTTGTTGTATACGCGGAGGCCCGGCGGTAGAAACTCTAAGCCAAGTTGCTGTCCGATCTGCACTTGATTTGCGCAAGTCGCTGGTTTTTACATTGCATGGGTCTGAAGGAGTGTCAATCATACTGGACGCTTGGAACGATGAAAGGATGCCAGGTCAGCTGCAGTGCGACATATTCGATACTTAAAAGCCTGCTAGCACGCCGCGTTGAGGCGCAAAGCTCATAAAGTGATATATTAAGTTCTTTGCTGCCAAACTCGGACCCGCATTTCTCTGATCATATCGTCCAATCATGCAATCATCTACAGTTGACCTTCTGTCTTCAGACTTGTTCAAGCATCATTATGAGAATGGCCCTCGGGATGCTCATCTGGAACGCTCGTATCTCCGGGCCAAGGCCTTTGCTCGATTCTGGCGTAAGTCTTTAGTTGCATTATGCTTATCCATGCAATCTGACAGTCTCTCAGGATTGACCCCGGACGATGTTCTTCAATTCACACCAAAGTTTCGACACGCACACACTGACGGCATTATACTTCGGGATATAGCCGCCCAGTCTGCATTCAGTGTTCACTACAATCTGGTTGGAGGAACCATTGCCTCGCTGGTCCCGAAGCGCCCGGACCTTCAGCCGTGATTGAAACAAATTTTCGACTTTGATGTTGTGTATGTGACTTTTCATAGGCTGCATAAAAGAACATTGCTGATATGGTATTGAGTAGTGCTACTTATATGATGACGGAGGCTGGGCACGGCTGCGATGCGCGAAACCTCGAGACAGTTGCCATATTGCAGTCCGATGGTAGCTTTATACTTGAAACACCAACACCTGCCGCAAGAAAGTATGGTATCATGTTCCATGTTTGAGCCGAAGAATGCTAAGATGGATAGGCTCATGCTGCCCTCGGCACCTTTTGCAGGGATACCACGTATAGCGCTTGTACTTGCGCGCCTGATGGTCGAAGGAGAGGACCGAGGCACCCGACAGTTCATTGTTCCGCTCAACGATGGGCGACAGATGTATCGGGGAATTAAAGCATGGTTGGTACTCGTTGCGTGCACCAAAAACGCTTAATATAACAATGTTAGGGGTCTTCCAGCTCCTGGGGCCGGAAGGCTACTAGATTTCGTCCTTACCTCCTTCGATCATGTCCATCTCCCGTCAACCGCCATATTGGGAGATCTTGCAAGGCCTTCCAACATGCGTGATCAGTACCTCACTGCTGTCGATCGGCTGAGCACAGGAACACTAACCGTCAGTCTATGGACTATTCCCTTTCTGAAGGGTGCCGCTTTTACCGTGGGCAAGTACAGCCAGCGCCGCACAGTTCAGGAAGGACTTCATGGCAAAAGAGTCCCAATCATCTCTTATAGAACCCAGCAGCTACCTATTGCACACACTTTGGCTGAGGTTGCTGTACTAGACCCATTTGCGGATTGGGTCATCGAGCAACGTGGAAGCCCTTCCATTAGCCCTGGACTCAAACATGCGCTTAGTATCATCTTGAAGGTCGTCTTCGTTCAGCATGGAAGTGAAAGTCTCAAGCAGTTGAACGAAAGAAGTGGTTCCAGGGGATTGTTTCCTACCAACGGTCTCATGGAAATGGAGGTATAGCCAGGCCTATTTTATGTCTCGAACCTTGGCAGGCGGCTGACACGGTCCTTTTAGACTTATGTTCGAGCTAGCACTTCAGCAGAAGGAGAAATCTTGGTCCATTCCATTCGTGAGTGATATTCCAGCTTTCAGATATTAGATCTATGCTGAATGCCTTATAGGCTCTGCTACTGAGTTGCTTTTTGGCCGGTTCAGGATACCCGATGCCAAAACGTCAGACTCCCTATTGGGACGACACGAGGCAGGGTTCATTGCGGAGATGAAAGTCCTTGAAGAGGGCCAAAGGCCATAGAACTCCTGAATATAACAGTCTAGTACTACCCCGTTGTCGCCCCATGCTTCTGGCTATAGGCCAACGGATGGCGTATGAGGCAGCTGTTGATGCGGGTGTTGATCCCAATTTTCTGGCGCTATATGAAGCCGGAGCGGTGAGGAACGACTCAAGTTGGTATGTGGAGCAGCTGAGGCTCAGTAGGGCATCTCAATATGATATGGAGTGCCAAGCGTGCGATAGTGTGATGTCGCAGCTAGATAGGCATCTGGACGAATTGGGTATCGAGCCGTACTGCACCGCCCCGATGTTGTCGCCGGCTAGATGGGAGACTTTCATCAATACCTGCCCTATATATACGGAAGACGCAGTTCCTAGCCTGGATTACGGTGGTAGCCGAGAGTCCAGACTTTGAGAGTATATAGTATCCCGCAAATTGACTGATTACAGCGTGTGAAGCTGAGAGAGCAGTGGACGGAAGTAGACGGATGAAGGAGTCAAAGTGGAAGTGGAGAAGAGATGGGCGGTGGATCTTTGCTGCCTGAGCTGATCGGCTCGGCTCACCCCAGAAGGGTCTAGTAGGTCCTGAGCTGGTCAGTGACGTTGATGGCGTCTCTCTCTTCTGCCTCGACTTTTGGCTCATCTCTGGTTCTTGGTCGGGCTTCGTTCCTGATCCTTTCTTCTTCTTGTCAGGTGAGATAAAAGAGTCGACTCTCATCCTAATATTCTATATTTACAAATCCTCAAAACCCAAAAGCACTTCACGATGGCTGCCTCGTCCGTTTCCTCCGCTGTCAACTTCACCCTTCCTTCCTCCAGTTCTGGCTCTTCCATTAAGCGACCTATCAAGACAGTCTCTAAGCCTTGTTTTGGCTGCGACTGCGGAGATGAAGAATGCGATTGTTGCGTTTGCATTGTGATGTGGTATGTCAATCAAAAACCCGAGATTTACAACAAGCATCGTTAGTAACTCCCGTTTTTGCAGAACCAACGCTCGCTATTATTCTGGCCATGTCTATAGCGTCCAAATGGCCGGTGGGCTATTTGCCCAATTTGATGATACATACGACTTTCATTGGGCGCACTCGGGAGTTTCTCATGGGCTGTCGGAGGCAGGGCGTACATCCATCACTGATGCCACCCCTTGCCATCCACGTTGATACATTTTGATTTGGCTATAGCAAAAATCTTAGCACAGATTAATTGATCTGCTTCGAAATTCCATCTTCAAGACGGGCAATTCAGAATCTGCTCTCAATCCCCTGACTAGTGGTTGTAAGGTTTACAGCGAGCCTCACGGTCAAGGCCCTGGATACTTTGATGCATATCTTACAATCTTCCTGAATACAGGCTGGAATATGAACGAAATTTCCCATATTTTCCTGCTGTATGATTCATTGGATGTGGCACCAACTAGACAACAGCAGGGGACCCTAGACTAGCGCCGTCCGGAAGGTCTAAGGCTAAGCAACGATGGGTTTAGCATGCCTGTCCAGCCACAATAGGCTGCATACGCGAGTCAGTCTTAGACATCTTGTGAGGGGAAACAGTTTGACCCCAAATATCTTGCATAATGACACCCTTGGGGCAGCATCCGCCTCGCTTGCCTGCGCTCCACGTATCCGGATCTACATCACACAAGGATGCCACCTTCACGCATCGGATTTTTGCATAGTTACATAGCAAATCAGCCATAGAGTACTTAAGCTTCTCAAGCATACATGTGATCAGGTTCAAGCGGGAAATATCTCCGCCCCGTTGTCTCGAGATAAGCCACATTCCCAAGCGCCGACGGGTCCAAATTTGGGTGGTCCGAACGAACTAAGCAATGCGCTAACACTACCGCCGTCTCAACTACTGCATGATATAACGAAGCAATGCACTTTTTGGGTAAAGCATGTTACACTGGTGCAAGGCTATAAGAGGGGAGGTGGCTATTCTGACTGGTTTGGGTGAGGGGAGAAATATGGACAGAGCACAGCCGCATAATAACAGTTTCTTGATTTGCATAATCATACTCAGTGGCCTACCTCTGAATCTGCCTTGCTTATCCCTGCCATGGCTGGTCTATATGAATCACCCACAGTCCCTCTTCGTCGATCTGCCCATTCGCGAAATTTCAACGCTATTTCTCGACACAGAGACAACTATGACATCTCCCTACTCCACTCCTTCGTTCCCTCGAAACATTCCATTATTTTCACACCTGACATCAGACAACAATGACGAGACTTCCGACTCTTCTTCGCCTACCAACGTGGCTACTTTTTCGAGTGACCGTGCTCGACCTACAAGCCCCGGAGATCGAAGCCCTTCGGTTCAGTTTGCAGCGAGGCGGGAATTCAGACGAAGAGTGGCCTCTGTAACCTCAAACGAACATATAGAACGCTCAGGAAATTCTACATCACCGAAGCCTATGACAGTACAGCAATACATGTCAGATTCTGATCCAGCTGACCAGAATTTAAACGCTCTGCGGCGACTAATGGCCGGCTCTCCTTCTTCTCTATCACGATCACGTGAGACACCAAGAATCAGCAGTAGCATTGTGAGTGCTGCCGTATCACCAGGAATGAATGATGTATTTCAGGATGCTGTAGAGGAGCAGATTCAGGGTCCTGCAGAGGGTGACAAACCAAAGGTTACGACAGAGGCTATTCTTTCTAACATGCACAACATTATTCGGGGTCATTACAACGAAAACAACAAGGGATATGCTTACATTTACCGAGACAGTAAGGATAAATGTCAGCGCTTCAAGATTGGATCAACGGATCGGCCAGAAGACCGCAAAAAAGAGCTCGACAAGCAATGCAAACTCAAAGGCTGGGAGTTGGTACAGGATCCTAAAATGCCTATTTGGGAGTATAAACGACTCGAAAGGCTCGCCCACAGTGAGCTGAAGAACTTCAGATGTGATGATATATGCCCCGGTGATGGTATGAGACATCGGGAGTACTTTTATGGCTCAAACGCTACTGCCTCTGAGGTCTTAGGACGCTGGTCGCGGTGGCTAGTAGATCACGAGCCATATGACAAGAAGAGCGAGCTGAAACCTTTTTGGTCCGATCGCCTTGAATGTTTCACGGCTAACAAGATGGCCTCGTTATATTTCAACTGCAGGAAAGCTACATGCTCACAGCGAGATTCCAGTCCCGTTGCTTGCCAGGAATGTCTCCAGAGAGGATGGAAAGTGTGGACAGAACCAACGACGTTAGACAAGGTTAAGTACTACTGTCCTTATTATGCCAAGGCCGTATGGGAGCGCACACCCACACTGTCAACCTGTTTCTTCCTTATGGTGTGGGGCAGATTGATTGCGCCGATGATCTTTGCTCTTTTGCATAGTTCCGAACTTCGTGGAGGGTTAATCGTGACTGACATTATTATATGCATATGCGCCCTCTTCTGTCACCTTTCCCAAAACAAGGTGGCACAGGGCGAATTTAAGACGAAGTACACAGGTAAGAGAGCTACGTCAGCTTCGGGACAATTCGTTATATCTCCAGGGGTATCCTCAACCAGACATGGCCAAGAAGATACTCCTGCAAAAAAGAGAAAGCGATCATAACATTTTCGAACGATTCGGGAACCTCGGTCTGTCGCTGCACCAAAAGAAACAAAGTCATTCTGTCGCATATGGAATGTTTTGGGTCAGCGCATCCTGTCGAAATATTCTATGCCATGGGTACCAAGCAACTTGAGATGCGCTCTGGCCAATAACAGGGCAAGTCGGAAAACAAGGTCCGTTCCTCTTCGTAATAGGCACTATGTTGTATACGGTGATCTACGCGACATACCACTGTCATCGGCGTGGATATATTCCATCCATCATTGCAGCGACTGTTCTATACGAAACTAGGTTGTCAAACGAACATTGGGCGACAATCATTGCGGGCTGGTGTGTAGCTCCGAGGTTATGCTGGGATAACCACCCGCGATGATGTCAATAGGGATATCCGGCCCACCCGGATGCTTGCAAGGCACGGCTGAGGAGGCTCGACCTCGCACTGTATCTGCAGATCGGGATTTGTGATATTGGATCTCACTCAGGAGCCAGGAACAGCGAGTCCCAAAAGAAACTTCCAGTTATTGTGGAGAGACCCAAGACCCTGGGTGTTGACGTAGGCGGTCCGTCACCTGACAGCCAACCCAATTGCAGCTATCTCAACTTGGGATCCACCGGAAGGTTCGTCACAATCCTCGTCTTCTTATTCTTCTCGACTTATGAGGCGGTGGTAGCTTGTCTTTCGTCGTGGTGGGCACTCAGAATTGCGTTGTGCCGAGCAATACCACTATCTCTTTCCACGTCACCCAAAACCGACTGGCCGAGCAACTCAAGTTGACCTTGGTTTTACTAGAAATGCAGCGACTGCGCCATAGTAGCAAAATAGCATACTTCACAATTATCAGTCAATGAGCGACGAGCATCCAAATGGCTTTGGACGGCCATTCTTCATTGTAACATGGGTCGAATTTGGGTTGGCGATCATCTTCATGATCGCTCGATGCGTTGCTGCGTCCAGACTTATTCATAATGTGGCGAAAGACCTGTATTTGGCGATAGCAACATTTGTGGGTACTCTTCTACCTCAGCTTACCATGTTGCTGCTAATATCGATGCGGCAGATCCTGGGAGCTGCAAGCATGGCGATGATCACTGTCGGAGCTACATACGGGCTTGGTCTTCCGCAAGACATGCTAACATTCAACGAGAGCAAGATGGCACTACTATATGGCTGGGTTAACCAATTGATTGCCCTCGTTGCGATTGGGTTGGGGAAGCTTACCATTGTCGCCTTTCTCGAACAAGTCCAGGGTTATCAGACCAAAGCCAGAAGCATATTTCTTTGGTCTTTGGCGGGCAGCAACCTCGTCATGAACTGTGTCGCTGCCATCCTCATGATGCTTCAATGCTCGCCGAGGAGGATGCTGTGGGAAGCATATGCTAAGGGGTATTGTCCCTATCGCAGCCGTATACAGGTATTCGGTTATATTCAAGGGCGTGAGTGTATTTTCTCGCTTCCGTGGGTTCATGTCTAACATTGACAGCTTGGTCCGCTGTTTGCGACTTTGCACTCGCGTTATATCCCGTTTCTTTCCTTGCTCGGGTCCACGCTTTCTCGATAGCGACTCGGATCGGTCTCTGCGTACTGATGGGATTTGGCGTCGTGTACTGCACCGCCCCTCTTATCGAATGAACCAATGCTGACGTAGAATAGGGCGGGGGCATGTGCAATAGTAAAAACTGTTCAATTGACTGTTCTGACGAAAATCGAAGATCCGAGCCGTGAGTAGTACTGTTTCGTCCACGGCGACATGAGAGCTAACAGACATGATAGAACAGATCGGAACAGTCATTGTTTGGAATCAGTGAGTAGCACTCATCATCTCTATCTCGCCATAGGTATCGCTCTAACGACAAATTACAGAACCGAAATGTGGGTCGTATTCATTGTCAGCTGTATACCACCTACTAAAGTGTTCTTCAAGCATGTATATCGCCGAAGTTCTATCCGACTAGGCTCATTTGTGGACCAAAGGCGGCCCCGGGAACATGAGACGAAGCAGAATGAGTCGATGCAATCCAGCTGTTAAGGCCGGTCAATACGAGAATTTGGACTTGGCAGTCAATCGATAGGGAGGACGCTTATTGTACTATATGTATTTGTTATATGAGTATATGATACCATGGCGCTATGGATACATTTAAGAGACCAATTCAACCGAACTATAGTAGCGTGCAGTATAGATTGGGGTGTAGCATATGTATAAGATTCAAGCCTACCTATCAAAAGCATACTGCTACTTGCCTATTGTGTCAGAGATAATCATATGATAGTTTATCAGCACCATACACCATTCGCAAGCCCATACATATATTTATACTAAATCCACCCTCTTAGAATACTGAATCACGCCATCCACTCAATACATACTACAGAAGCGAGCGTCAAATATTTCCCACTCAGTAACTACTACTCCCTCCATCAACACCCGTGACTCAATCCCTACCTATCCAGGTAACATTCACAACATTGAGAATCCGCCCCCAAAATCAAACATCCAGCATACCCAATCAGTCCTAACCCCCCCCCCCCCAGACCAAACAACTAACTAGTGAAGATCGGAGCCACTCGTGTCTTACTCAGCTCACCTCAGCCATCACACCAAACTAACCAGTTACCTACCTACCTACCTAGCTAGCGAACAAGCTAGCTAGTAGTTAGCTACGTAGTCAACCCATCTCCCCCCGTTTCACACTAATTATTGCATAATCCACATTCCACAAATTAAAAGACAAAAATCTATTCGACGGCTCGGCAATCACGCCTAGTAACTTGTACTTTCCATTTTCTCTCATGATTGACATGGCTAGTTAGTAGTCTAGTCTACTTACCCGCCTGGCAGCAGCCTGAATAAAACCTACCGATCATAGTTTCTATTTTCGGGGTTATTTCGGCGAAACAATAACAAAACAAACCAAAACATCTATCTAGATTGGGTACCTAGACTACGTATGTATCTTGTTTTCCATATGAGTTAAAACTTACTTATTATAGTCAAATCCAGGGGTAAATAGAAGCGGTACGTACGGAATCTGGGCTGGGGCTTGGATCTGCAAAGAATCTTCTTGGCGCGGCGAGGGCCGATAGGGTCGTTGTTGATCGTTCTTTTATTATTATTATTATGATTATGATTTTTTTTATTTCGTGATTTATAATTAGTATTTGAACTGTTTGTTATTGGTACTAATGTTCACTATTTACTAGTAAAAGTAGGGATTTGATATGTTTGATTGACTACTAGTCGGTGAAACTAGGGAGTTATTAGTTAGTTGGTTGACCCCTGGTTTAGTTATGGGTATGGAAGTGCGATCATAGTGGTTGTCATTATATTAAGTCGTACATAGTAAGTAGTAACTGATAGATCAAGTTCGGTTTAGAATTCTGATGTGGCTAATAAGTAGTAATCCTACTAGTAGTACTCCTTAGAGTTAAGTTGAAGTGACAGAATGACATGCGTTGCGTTTGTGGCACAGTATTAGTGTGACTAGCAGTAGTAGTAGTAGTAGTAGTAGTAGCAACAAGATATATATCCCGCATACGCATCATGAGTGCGACAATACTAACTAACTAATCCATAGTCTTACTCAGGGACACTTACACTGACACCGGAGAATTAAATTCTTATCGTTTTATTCATCACTAATATCTATGTACGAAATACACACAAAAAAAACACTACAACTAATCAATCAAACTTTGTACTAAAGTATCAGATCAGCCAAGGCAGTCGGCCCAATGTCTCACTCAAACCGTTCGCAGTGGAACTTTGGAAATGCAGTCCCGGCCGGAGAAACACGCAAGTCGGAAAAAGAGCGAAAGATCGAATGAATGTATTGGCTGTGCGGCATATCTAGTCTAGTCTAGTACTTACCCCACCACCGCAATCGTCCAGAACCCAACCACACATCCCCACAATAGTAGAGAGGGGACCAAAGGGCAGGAAAGAAGAAAATGAAAACATTATGATGATGACGAAATCGTGCGTATGTTAGACTGGATCACTAACTAGTTAGTTAGTTAGTTTTAGATTAGTTGGTTATCTACGTACGTAGTAGTCTCTACCAAGTAACTAGGCGTTTAAAGTAATCAAGCCGAGGTGGAGGGAGAAACAGACAGAGAGACAGAGAGGGGTTATTTTGCATCTTGTCCAGTTAAACTAATCGATTGGAAACGCGCGACGCTTGGACATTTTACATTTTGCATTTGACATTTCATGGTCCGGCGAGTTTTTTTTTATTACACACATCAATGATCTCTTTGGTTGGAGCCTGGCGCATCTCTCGCATCTTTCCTCTTTCCAGTCATATCTGTGCATGCTGTGTGGTGGTGGGCTTTGACCATGTTCCAGACACGTCAAAAGTCTAGACTTACGTATCTTTGCAGGCTGGCTAGCTAGCTACTATCTACTAGTATGGGTTATATACATCACATCAACCGAGCGCTTGGTCGCTCCAGTTGGGTGGTCCGTGATGCAGGTTAGATTGGATGGGTTGGTCGGTCATGCATGTTGGTACCTACAGGCTGGTTCATACGTGCGTCGCTGATCTTGGAGGGCACGGTTTGCCGCCGTTGTCTGCTTGGCATTAGTGCTTTGCTCTGGTTGGGTTGGCTGGGATTGCCTTTCTGGTCGTGGTGGAAAACAGCCTTTTATTTTTATTAGTTTTGATCGAGTCTAGTCTCTGCTTGCAGGTGGTAGGACCCAAACGAGACAAGGCTGGCTGCGATAAGGCGCACGATTTGGTGGTGGCGGGTCAGGACTGTCTGCTGATAGGGAACCCGAGCAATTTGGAATCGGATTGGCGATGTCATGATCGTACGGCGCTTCTTGCTGGAGGCTCATTAGCACCCCGAAAGTGGATGGCGTAACTCTCTCAGCCGCTCATTCCTGGCGCTTAAAGCTCGCGTACGTCCAAGACATGTGGGTTGGCGTGGAGAGCAGCTTTAGTCCAGGAGACAAAGAGGGGTCGAATGGGTAGGTCAGTTGGAGCTGAACAGCGGCCGGCAAAAGGTGGTCATTCGATTGGAGGGGGGGGTTGGTATGAGTCGAGAGGAAAAGGCTTCTTACTCTAATAAAGAAAAAAAGGAAACTAGTGAAGCCCGGTCAGGGAGCCAGCAGATCATGCGATCGTGGAAGTGTGTTTCTCACCCCCCTCCCATCCCTTCCTTCCTTCGCTTCCCTTCTTATCCCGGTAGACTATGACCACCCCTGCAAGCCTTAGTAGTTAGTTAATAGTGAGAAACCCCGATCAGATTGGTAGTAATTTGGGAGGCAAGGTAGCAGTGCTAACTTGGTTTAAGGTGTTACCTCAACCATGTGGCCGGCTACCCACCTCGAACGGCTCCCATCTCGGCCACATGCGGAATCCTAGCAGGATCAATAAAAGTGCCACAGCACGTGGAGTTTATGACCCGATCGCCGGATCCTGGCTAGCCTGGCAGTCAAAAAGAGCGTTTAAAAGTAGTAATTGTAATTGAGAGCCTCCCTGATGCTGGTGATGGGATGCAGGCGTATCGCCGGGTGCTCCCCGGCCAGGAGGGAGCAAATCCCCCAACGACAGCTGGCTGCGGCGGTACGTCGAAGCGCTGGACTGTGCACAGTTCTCTCCCTGTCTCCGCACGACATCCACGAGGGGATCAGGCACCGTGAAGAGCGGAAAAGATCCCAGGCGCTTCGGATGGCGGTCGCCGAGAACGGGCCCCATAATTCAATGACGCTGTTGCCGGCCTGCCAACCAACCAGTCCAAGTGTCAACCGCCAGTGCCCATGGCTTTCCTCCGGTGGAGCAAGGCAGCGAAGCTAAACGGACGGAGGAAATTGGTCAATAGGATTCATGTCCTTGGTCGTAAACGGAGATTCCTCGTGACAACTAGGGGATTTTATTGGACATTTTTCTTTTTCTATTTATTTTAATTTTTTTTTGTCTTAATTTTTCTGTCTCCTCCCTTCTGTTTCTCCATCAGCGCGATATCTGGAGGGGCGAGTTAATTTATTTGACCTTGGGTTTAGACTCATTTCAGCAAATATTGCTCATTTGCTCAGCCATTCTCCCCATAAGGAGGACGGGAATTTGGCAAGGTGGATCAATGGCAGTGCCTTCGAGGAGGATTTGTTCGGTTACTCGAGCATCTGGCGAGCGGGCGGTTAATCCAATTTACATCCACTGCCTCCCGTGAGAGAGCGAGGTTCTTGATCCTGGCCGATCATTTCCGTGGCGGTCAAGGCAATCACAGGATCGGACAATCGGGCGCTCGCCATGCTCCGGACTCTGAGGGGCGCAAATAAACGTGTCACGTAACTGGTAATTGGTAGCCTGCTTAGGGCCGGTCCACGGGTCTGAGTCTGACCGTGTCGGCCAAAGCGCCTCCCTTAGCAGTTAGCAGCAACCTTGACCTCATTGTGAGCGGCCTAGCACCTTCGGACCACCGTTTCACCGTTGGCTGCTTTCAGGACAGGCAATATTTGCGATCCTCCGGATCTTACAGCCCCGGCCACTTTGGAAGAATAAATGGTGAGCTTTCTGGTCCTTCTGTGTCCCTGCATCTGCTCGCACCCAATCTGCTGGTCCCTCTCGCTCCTCGATCATTCCAACCCACATCAGGGAAGAATGATGGGGGAAAAGAAACAGGCCCGTAGTAAGAAAGGCTGATACCTGGGGTCTAGAATACCGCATGGATGTGATAATAGCCAGAGAGTATTTATGGGGATTACAGCGATCCTCTGGAGTTGAAAGGAGGATCCGTGAGCTTGCAGCGATGCGCCAAGCTGTCGTCACAGAAAGTCACCTTTCGAAACGAAACCTGTCGATCTCCCCAGCGCATTGCGTTTGAGCATTGTCAGAATATAGTACGAAGGCCTTCCACGGCGTATGGGAAAAACGGTAAGTGGGCATATGCTCTGCTGGGGGGGCGGCGCATCACTGTGTCTAAGGGGGGGCCATCTGGCGGAATAATCCAGAAAGACCCTTTTTCTTTTCTTCCGCCTGATTCTAGTTAGGTCTGCAAAGCCGGGCCATGAAAGGGGAGACGAAGCCAGAAACACGCGATGGCCCATTGTAAGCCCGAAGCGGTAAGAATCGGGATCCATAGCGTGGCTGGCGGCCGCTAAGGCAGTGGGGGCCAAAAAAGAACAGGACAAAAGTTCTGAGCCTGATGCATTCGCCAGAGGCTAGGCACGCTAGACAAAACAATGATCGGGTCTTATTGCTCAGCGTGGTGCGCGCGGGAAAGCCTCCCAGTGATCGTGGGAGGGAAGGGAATCCTCAATGGGACGGTTGGTGGTATGGGTCCCGGCTCCCCCTGCTCCCCTACATTGCAATCCCTGGTAGGAGGATGAGGGAAGGAAGCATGCATCGCCCCGGGGAAGGAATTAATTGAACCGCCCATTGCTTATCGCCATGTGGTTCCGGATCTAAAAGGCCATGCCTCGCTATCATGACGATCTCGCACGACTCCACGTATGTCAGACGGCGTCGTTCGCAACTAGCTACCCAGCCAGGACTGCCTTTAGCCCCGGTGGCCACTTTTCAGACCCGCCTGGATATACGAATCAGGGAATTGAAGGTCCTTCGCATCCTGAAATTGGCCCCCAAACCATGCGGATTCGACAAATCCATCTACGCCGCCTCTGAAGGAAGATGAGCCGAAACAAACCAGAGCATCATCGGGCGGGGGGCTTGTTAATCATTCACTCGGTTCCTGTTACTGGCGGTGACGCTCAACGCCCTCAAGCCTTTTGGGGCTGGAGTTGTGTTTCCCCCCCTAAAACTTTCCACAACCGATGGTGACTGGGGAAAAGAGAGGGGGGAAGGCGAGAGGGGGTTAGGGTCGAGTAAACTAGTTTCAGCCGGTTCTTCCACTATGATAGGAGCTTGTTTCTGCTTTCCCAGGCGGCTCTCAGCCCAAAGCCCGCCATCTCCGAGTCTATTCCTCTCGTGGCTCGCGAAAAGAAGTGTTGGTATCGATCGACGGGCCGGTTAGGGCGATACGATTGCTGATGTCAATTGCTAAGGTCTCCTTTAACCCCGTCATTATTCCCAGAGTGGAGTAGCGAGGGGACAGGGGGGCGCTTGCATCCCAAACTAATTCGAGGCTACTGAAGCTGACCAGGCCGGGTGCGATTGAGCTGTTGGGACCTTCACGTGGCGATGGTGCAGGACTATCCCCTATTGAGTACCCTGACTCAGAGCCGGAGGGAAGCATAATCCGACTGGCGTGGCCCATCTTGTCCGGAATAAATAAACTCAGAAAATGAACCGGGTTCGATCCTACTAGTAAGTATTCAGTAGTCGTAGTGGTGACGGTGGTGGGTGGTGAAGGCCGACGGCGTTGGGTCACCGTTTATTCGACTAATATTAGCTCAACAACAGGAACGTTCTTCAATGACGGACCCGCTTAACACGGTGATGGAGATGGATGGTTCTCCATGCTCTACAATCATCAGACCACAAATGGGGGAAGCTGGTGGCTACCAACAATGCGACCGATGGACATGATCAGATGAAGGGGAAGTTTCGTAGATGGGATCGTCCCCACGTCCAAGAACTATCCAAGGAGGTAACGCGCAGGTCAGTGGTGATTGTTGGGTTGGAGATCACAGGGAAAGGTAAAACAATAAAATAGAATAAAATAAAATCAAAAAAGAGGGCCCTCTAGTGGAATGGAAGCGTCCGATGTGTGGCAGTGAAAAGAGCACACACAGACACAGACACAAACACACACATACGCCTTTCATCGAGTGCGCGGAAGAGGATTTGAAATAATAATAATAAAAATATTATTAACCACAATAATATCCCGACCTGTCAGGAAAACCCCATAATCAAAACGGGGGGAACCATTTTTTTCAATTTTCAGCTACAAATTAAAAATAGCGAGAAAAATCCACGGTAATTCGTATACGAAAAAATCCAGGATAAGCGTAATTACTATTCCGATCTAGTGGCATAAGCCCAGGTAAAATACATACACACAGCACCCACCCTCGTTCTCTCTCACGCATTGCCCACCCGCCATAAGCTGCCAGTCTCCAAAAGACGAACCACCAGGTAATCTTCGGCCCCCGTTCGTTGCGCTTATTCGGTCTCTCGCTCGTCTGGCTATCACTAGGCCACCAGGCGTTAAATACTCTCTTCTAGCCGGGCTTCTGGAACACAAAAAACGGGTTATCGAATTGATTTACTACTACCTACTACCTACTATCCATCTACCCGTCCGCCGTTCTGGCCAACCTACTACTTACCACACTACTTACTTTCGCTGTCTCCCGTGGTGGATATAGTTGCTGTCAATCCGGAAGGATTCTCTGCCTAAGCCTACTACCTAACTAACTGTATGTTCCGTACCCTGATTTGTTTTCCTTCGATCTACTTAGCACCTGTTGGTTTTTGTACTTCTTTCCTCATTTCCCTTTTCTTCCTTCATCTCTCCAACGTCTTAATAAAACCCATCCCCCATCGTTGATCCTCTGCAATTTTTATTTATTCTTGAATCATCTTCCTAAAAGATTCATTATCTTCATCCTTGTTATTCGCTCAGTTGTTGATCGCCTCTCTTGTTCTTGTGGTTTTGGCGTACTTAATTCGAGCACCCATGTTTTCCAGTGAATTCTATCACTCACCAGGCGACTCGTTCGTTCGTCACAGACAGCTGGGCGATTCTATTCCACGAAGTTGGAGAGTACCATCACCAGCCTCGGCACCTTTCGTCGTTGATCTTACTCACTCTGATGGTGGTTCGGTTCCGCTAAAGTCTGAGACAACCCCATCGGATACCGCACTTGCGTCTACTCTTCCAGGCTGGCTTCCTGGTTTACCGAGTCCTGCTTCGGTCTACAGCTCTCCTCGGAGCGAAATATCCAGCATTAGTTCAGGAGAAGGACGGAGTCATCTATCGCCTCTTCCTCCGAATCAGTACCTAGGCAGGGCGCCTTTTCCATCCGAGTTCATCTCTCGGGATCTTGAACCAGCAGACTCACCTTCAAGACTGGCCCAAAGGAGTCCCTCGCAAGCCTTTTCACAAATATCACAGTATGTATTGAAAGAAACGACCTTCTCTTCTGAGTGTTACTTACTGAAGACGATTCACTCCAGGGCGTCAGATTCTTCATTATTATCTCAGTCGATGCATCCCGGATCAGTAGCATTTCTGACGACCAACATGGCACACAACTCTCAGAGTATGTTCGCAAGCATGGCTTCCAAGCTCTTTGAATTATTGGCGCTGACGAGGAGCAGATTACGGCTGGCAAAACAGGCCACCCCAGCCTCTTCATCCGACTTCAATGCCTATGGATCAACAATCATATCCCCAGGCACACACACTTCCACCCCAATCTGGTTACCCAGCAGCATATCCACCTCAACATGCCACCTCACAGAGTTATTATCAGCCAGGACTTCCGTCTACACATTACCTCACCTCACAGCCGGGTGTGCCCCAGAGCCGACACCAGCCTCGAAGGTACCAATATCCGTACTATCTGAGTTAACTGGGATGAAAATTGATCGATTTCATAGTTCTTCCATTCCATATCCTTATCCCAGCGCTTCCGTATCTGGCAGCTCACCTACCATGCCAGATCCCTCTTTTACATCAACGTGAGGACACCGAGTGCATCAGGAGACGAATCTTATGGCTAACTTGTTCCTAGACCTCCTTCATACCTAGTCAATCAGCCAGATTACTACCTAACGCCGAACTCTTCACTCTCGTGAGTGGCCACGTTAGCCATCAAGTCTTCGTTCCACCTACTAACCATATTGCATTACCAGGCAAACCCCCAACTCTATTCCCCAACCACATA